AGTATCTTGCCCAAGGATATTTGGCATGCAGCCAGGAGGCAGCCTGGGATCGAACCACCGACCTTCTGATTAGTGGCTGATCTGCTCTGCCACCTGAGCTACAGCCACCCCACCCCTGCCGTAAACTACAATAATGTTTTTCACATTGTTTTGCTTTGAGGTTAATCCTTTAATGCCCCTTATATCATATTTGATACATGAGTCTCTGAACTTTTTTGGTCTAAAAATAACATTGTTTTTAACAAACACTTGCCAAAAATGCCCAAAGTATCCAATGCGATACAAAAATGTATAATAAGTATATAATAAAAATATGTCATACACAGCATGATATATCAAAATAATTGTTGTGGATTTTCTTATAAGGGTTAATAAACACCTCAGAGTTTTCTGGCTATTTTTTGATGGGTTGGGTCTTACAGGGTTAATGATAGCACTAAATGTGACTGTAGAAAATTGTTTCACTTTCGAGCTTACATATTACATCTATAGCTACATTACATATAGATATTTATTGGTATTATCTGCTTATTCCCTGCCTAGTTCCACCCATGTGCCATAAATTTTTCTTCTGCTTTTGTTTTGAAGATGACACGAGTAAGGAGGGAAAAAAAGTAACATCAGAGCAGATAAAATTGGGGAGTGGGGACGTGACAGATAAAAGGAACCACAGAGTGCAGTAGAGCAGAACTTGTGCTGTCTTTCTGATCAGAGAAGTTGCCGTAAGTAGTTAAATACTGATCTGTTTTTTCATTACTGATTCATTTTCATTTCACTGAAATCAAAAAGATGTTGACATTTATTAGTGTTTCTATGTTGCAGGACTAAATGTTAAATCTACACAAACACAGATAAAAGAAAATATTAGAGTGTATACATTCTGTGTGTAACACATCACACTTTTAGAGTTAAATAAATTAAACTCCAAGCATGAAGTTGGAAAAGAATAGCAACTTTTAGTTTTGCAAGATAGAGAATACTATTATGATTGTTTGCAGTTTTGATTTGCTTCTCCGATTGAAAAGTATGTTGACTTACTGCTGGCTGCGTCACACACACACAGCTGTTAAATAAATTCAAAGAAGATATTTTGACTGACCAAATCTGATTCTTCTTACCCCATCCTACCAGGTGTCTACTGACAGCTTAATTTTAAAGGGATTTTTTTGTAATGTATTAATTATCCTTACAAAGTTAGTTGAGCCACATTAAAGCAGTTTAGAAGAGTTGTTGCATCATAAACATAATATATGTTTCATGTGGTTTTTTGTTGGCCTTTTTCTTTTTAGATTTTAGGAGTTTTTAAAAGACTCATCTGAATGTAAGCCAACAAATCATATCAACTCTGTGGCTAATGGCAAGGAGCCTAACAGCGTAAGAGGTGGGTTTTAATTAATTTCTATCCTTAAAGACTTCAAAAAAATAAATAAATAAAATAAAATAATGAAATGTTACATGTCATGAAATTGTAGTTTTTGTTACGTATAAACTCTGATGTGAAAATTACAGCTGTAAATTTAAGACACTATTATTATTAACTCTGCGTTTTGTATTTTAGGAGGAGTTTTTTTAAACGACCAGTTTGAATCCAAACCAATATATCTCAACGTCTAAAAGCACGTGACTGAGAACAGGTAAGGAGCCTAATTTTCAAAAGTGAAAGATTTTTTAATATAAAAATGGATTTTTACTATATTGCATGATGTTTGTAATGGTTAAAGTATAAAAATAAGACTTGTAAATGTGAAGAAAAACAATCAGTGGCCACCGGCTTGGTTTACGTTTTCTTGTTTCAGGGCCATCAGCTCATTGGTTGTTTCTGAAACATGAACTGGTTGTTAATTACTTGTTTTCATATTGCTTTTTGTGCTACTATGCAGCTAAACTCAGCTGGTTTTCTGTTTTTATGTCCATTTAATTATGTCTTTTTTATATGTCTGTTTAACGTACAAACTAGATAATGCTTTTCTAGTTAAAATTAGAGCTAAATTTTGTATATTTTAAGTTTTGAATACATATTTCATCTGCAGATCAGGAGCTGAAAGAACATCTTAACAACACAAGACCCTGACTGCGCAGAAGCCACTATATTTGTTCCTGAAAGAAGAAAAATTTAGATCTTTGTAGTAAATTTAATAACTGACGTACAACAATAATGTTGAAATATTTCAAACGAGAAGAAGAGCCCAAAAAGCTTTCAGATACTATAAAAAAAGATGGCAAACAATCAAAAACACATACAGAGCCTCTCCCTGTTAATATAATTAAACTGAAAAAAAATGATAAATTCAATGTCGATGGATGCAAGAGTTTCACTTTTGGGAAAGCGTCCAGTAAACCTAATCGCACCATAATGGTTCTCGGAGCGACTGGTGCTGGGAAGTCAACTCTCATCAACGGGATGATCAATTACATTTTAGGTGTTAAATGGGAGGATCCACATCGCTTTAAGTTAGTTGATGAGGGTCAGTCAACATCACAAGCTCAAAGTCAGACCTCTGAAGTCACTGTGTACAAAATCAACCACCAGGATGGATTTCAAATCCCGTTCTCTCTGACCATTGTTGACACTCCAGGCTTTGGAGATACAAGAGGCATAGAAAGAGACAGAGAGATCACAGAGCAGCTACGTAATCTCTTCTCTGCTCAGCACGGTGTCACTGACATTGATGCTGTGTGTTTTGTAGCTCAGGCTGCTTTAGCACGACTCACAGCAACACAGAAATATGTGTTTGATTCAGTGCTCTCAATCTTTGGCAAAGATGTGGCAGAAAACATCAGGATCCTGGTGACATTTGCAGACGGTCAGCGACCTCCAGTTCTCGAGGCGATCAATGCTGCAGGAGTCCCATGTCCTAAAACAAACAACCTGCCGGTTCACTTCAAATTCAATAACTCAGCGCTGTTTGCAAATAACAAATCAGCTGAAGGAGACAGAATGAGTGATGATGATGAAGAAGAAGGTGGCTTTGATAAGATGTTTTGGGAGATGGGCACAAGAAGCATGAAGAGGTTTTTTGCTGCTCTGAATAAAATAGAAACTAAAAGCTTGACACTGACAAGGGAAGTCCTCAGAGAAAGAAAGCAGCTCGAGAATTCGGTTGAGAATCTGCAGGTGCAGGTGAAACTTGGGTTAGCCAAGATTGAGGAGATAAAAGAGACGAGTAAAAAAGTTAAAGATCATGAAGCAGAGATCGGCAGAAATGAGAACTTTGAATTTGAAGTTACTGTCAAAAAGCCTGTTCAGGAGGACATTTCTGGCTCTGGAAACTACATCACCAACTGTCAGCAGTGTCATGTCACCTGCCACTACCCTTGTGCCATACCAAATGATGCAGATAAAAGGGGCTGTGCAGCAATTGGATCAAATGGATATTGTACAGAGTGCTCAGGGAAATGTATTTGGAATGTACACTTTAATCAGAAGTACAAATGGGGCTATAAAGATGTTAAAGAAAAAAGAACAATAAAAGAGCTGAAAGAAAAGTACCTGAAAGCCACAGGAGAGAAGATGACTGTTCAAGCACTGGTTGACAAACTGAATGCTGAGTATGAAAGTTTGCAGGCTGACGTAGTGAAACTGATGGAGAAATCTTCCAAGTGTCTGAACAGACTTAAAGAGATAGCACTGAAGCCCAACCCTCTGTCCACTCCAGAGTACATCGACATGCTTATTGAAGGAGAGAAATCTGAGGGCAAACCAGGCTGGAAGAGACGAGTTCAGTCTCTGATGTCCATGAAGGAAAAAGCAGAGACAATGGCTAAAATAGAGGAAGGAAAGAAACTCCTGCATCATCAAAAATCACTTGATGTTAATGCTTAGCCAAATCCATGAAACAGCACATAGTCACAGGCAGTCAGATAATGATAGAGGGTAAAATCACAGCCAGCTGCAGCAACCTCTGAATGATTTTAAAGTTTCACCACTTTTTGTATTTATGATTCTGAAAGTTTAGAAAGAATATGTACTTGACCTACTACAAGCAACTTCAAAGTTAAATAAAACATAATAAAATTCATTGTTTTTTTAATTTCCTGATCAACTGTATTTTCTTTTCTACTGGTCGACACGTCATTCTCATCTTCATGCTCATTTTAAAATTTATATGTTTTCTTTTTATTTATCTAAGGTTGAATCATTTAATTTGTATAGTATTTTTTTCTCTCTTATTTTCTTTTCTAAATGTACTTGTATATTGTTCACATATTGAAATAAATTACCAATCATCATAAAAAAAAATGTAATCAAAAACAATTAATCATGTCCTTTCTAACCTTAACTCTTCAATGAATTTTCTGATTCTAAGATAAATAAAGTGGTAAATATGCTTTGGCTTATGAGTACTACTTATTAAAAGATTTAAGTGAATGCATATATTTGAGCCTGTATAAAATCCAAAATAAATTAATTGTGATTCAATTTCTTCTTCTTCTTTTAAAAGAATATGTATACTATATCATTCCACCTTGGAAAAGCAACAGTTCAAAGACAATTAAAAGCAAACTATTGGCAAACATTCATGGCCCCGATGAGTGAAAGTAAACTTCTGAGCCATAGTGTTCGAACAGTTTGAGCCTCTTCAAGCTATCTTAGTACAGAGTGTTAGAGTTGATTCTTTAAAGATTGTCATTTGTGCTAAGATATAACCATTGCTTGTATGTGTTTTGATAAAATGTTTCTTCCATATTAGGCCCCATACTTAAGATGTAGGAAGCTGTCTCGTCGCTATAGGTTTCCATTGTACATTTAGAAACCACAAGCTTCTGGTTTTATAAGTTTAGCAGGACTGCTCACTTCTGCTTTTGTACATGTTGGTTCGTTGAAAGGTCACGCCATAAACGGAGTGACTGAAGATGTCGTTAAAAGGTCGAGCCATATATGGTGTACCAGGAAATAACACACACACACACACACACACACTCACTTGCTGAGATATTTGTGTAACTGCTTATTGTCAACAAAAGAGATGACGAGGGAGGTCAGGTTCGGAGTTGGCTGAGAACCTAGTTAGTGCTCCTGGGACACAAGCTTTTCAGAAGCTAGAAAATTTGTTTTCTAGCACAGGCAACTGTGGTTAGCACACCAAAAGGTCCAGAGTTCGACTCCATCACCTGGATGGAGTGCATGGAGTTGGCATGTTCTCCGCGTGTTAGGCGTTACTAATCACTTTGTTTGATTTCTGACTTCTAATGTGTTCATACACCTAGTCACTGATTAAAACAGCAGAAAAAAAACCCAAGCCTTTTAAGTTAGCAGTTCTGATTCTTTTTTTGTAGTTAAACTCTTGCTGCTGTTGCTGCTGCTGACTGTATTCACAGCAGCATGTGGCTTTAGCTTGTTTCCTGCTGTCTTCTTATAGGCATCTCTATTACAGCCTACTGCAGTAACATACTGACTGGATTGAAGCCTCATATTTCTGCACTTTCAAAAACTGAAAAGATGCAATCAGTTGGAGAACCACTGTGTTCTACTTGTGCTTTGTTTTTTTAGTGTTTTTTTTCCTATTCTCCCCCATTCCCCCTTTTTTTGGTCTTTCATTCCCCCATTTCTTTTCCTCCTACATCTTCTCTTTATTACTTCTCCTCCACCTGAGAGGAATGAGAGGGGGG